CATTAGCCATGGCCACTGAGCCTGCACGTCCGGAGCCTGTGCTCCACAACGGGAGAGGCCACAACAGTGAGAGACCCACGTACCCAAAAAAAAAAAAAAAGAAAAAGAAAAAGAATGAAACTCCCTGCCTTTTCCACCACTGCCAGTGCTTCCCACGTTAAGCTGCGTGCAGCGCAGAAGTCCCGCTCAGGCGGGGTGGAGGGCACTCTCAAAGTCCTTTATCACATGATGGTGATGCTGGACAGATGGTGGTGAGGGCGCTTTTACAGACACATCACACACTACAGCTATTAGTCATTGGACAGGTAGTCTGACAGCCTTTGGAAGTACACCCAAGGTAATTGCTATGACCATATTTGAAAAGTTGACAGATAAATGTGGATTTAAAACAGACTGAATATTAAACAATTAAGCCCTAAGTTGAGGCTTTTAAACATGCACAGGTAGGAGTGAGGGGGGACCTCCATACCTTGCCTTCAGGGATCCACCAGGGTCTTCAACTAGAGTAGAACTCAGGTCTCTCTCACCTTATCCGCTCCTCCCCACAAGCAGGTGCAGAAGGAAGTTATCTGAAAGAAGGAACTGAGCATGCTCAGTTCAGACCCTTTTGTCTGTCTAATTTTGGAGGCAGCCTGTCCCCAGGATATATGTCAACACACAAGGGTCAATTATTAGCGAGGCCTCTCTGACATATCTGAAGTTATGTTCTCTCCAACTTTATCAGTAACAAAAGCAATATTTTTAGCTCCATCTCTCTGGCCACTACCTCTCAACTGGTTCCAAAGTCAAGAGGGGAAGAGGGAACAGGCTCTATTAATTGTTCCCCTCAAAACCTGATGATCAATTAATATAAGACCTCAAGATGATAAATTAATATAATCCATGATACCAGCCAATAATTTATATACCAGAATTATCTTATCTGAATAGTAACTGAGCGTTGCTCACTTACTTTTAGATTTCATAAGTGTGGTTAAAAAAATAAATGTATGTATGATTTATCATGGCATGCTTGAACTCTCATAGCTTGAGACAGACTCCGTTAAAATGTGCATTTTATAATGTATTATATTATCTGCATAGTGTACAAGTATACACAGAGGATGGATTTCACTCAATCATTTAACAGCAAAAACAAAACCTACCAAAGAAACAACCCCACATGCTGTCACAGAACACAGTTCTGCATATGGCCAGCTGTACGTAGGCAGAACATAGTGGTTTTAAGGATGAATTAGTGTTCTAATCTCTTTGGGATTTCCTTTATATTAGTGGTGGTTTATGACTGACGTTTAATGTAACTGGAGCTTTCTGTTTATATTTAATAGAAGATTCATTTCTGTGGCAGGATCCACATTTACGCTCCAGTGTTGAATAAAAGCTACTGTTCTGCAAGAGGGATGTAAAATGTTGATTTATAACGGCACATTCCAGTAACAGTGATCTGATTCTTCCAAACCCTCTCACCAGGTCCTGGGAACAGCATGGTTCCGGCAAAGGATGATTCTTCCCTTCCAGGATATTCAGCCTTCAACACATCTGTCCATGCTGCCATTAGACACAGGAACTGGAAACTCCTCACGGGCTACCCAGGTAGAAGGCTTAACATTTCCCACTAGAACAGCTAGGAAAACTTTACCAAAGAGCAACCGCCTTTTGCAAAACATGATCTCTGGGGCTGCTGAATGAGGGGAAGGAGTGTCATCTGGTCCTAAATTTTAAAAAATTAAGAATTAACTGTAGAGGTGGGGGGAGGGTGAAAGGAAGAAATGCAGCTCTAGTGCCTCATGGAAAATCAGGGTTTCAGATATGCACGACCGTCAAGCACAGCACTTCTAGCTAGGAAAGAGCATCTCTGAAAGCTACATCTTCAGTCAATGGTATAGCGGGGGGAGGAGGCTGCTTCCCCTGAGCACATTCTCTAGAAGTGACATCTTTTAAATATTTTTATGGCATGTGGTATGATGGTTAAGATTGTGATGCAATTAAGCAGTGTTTATAATGAGGGCATTCTTGGCGTTTGCGGCAAGACAATCCTTCATCGTTCGTGACTGTCCCATACGTTCCAAGATAGTTTAGTATCCCTGGCCCAGACCACTAAATGGCAGTAGCACCCCCCGACAAGTCACCGTGACAACTAAAAATAACTACCACCACCACCACCCCCAGACACACACGCATGAGACATATTTAGTTAAAGCACCGCAAGTCAGAGTCGGAGACAGATCTAGACATAGCATCAAGGGCCAGATTTTTTTACGTGTCCATACCCACAACAGAGCTCAGCCTTGTTCCCCAGGCTCCTTCCTTGAAATTAGAACCTGCCTTCACTTCTCCTCGTCCAATAAACTGTTGTATTTCTCTGCCAGGCTGTGGTTACTGGTTTCCTCCACCATCTCGATATAATGTTTCCGTGATACCCTCCTTGGACCCACCGACCAAGACCTTCTGGCTCTTTGACATTGATCAGGACCCACAGGAAAGGCATGACCTGTCAAGAGAATATCCTCATATCGTCAAGCATCTCCTTTCCCGTCTGCAGTTCTACCAGAAACACTCGGTGCCCGTGTACTTCCCAGCACAAGATCCCCGCTGTGATCCCAAGGCCACTGGGGCTTGGGGCCCTTGGATGTAGGATTTCAGGCAACCTAAGGGGCAGCTAGAAAGCCTTTCTGTTGTGAGTTGTACTTCAGGCCTTTACTTTGTGACTCTTGTCTCATTTGTTCTCCCAACCTGGGTTCACCTGGCCCTTCTCTTGCTCCTAAACCACACTGAGGTGTCTAATTTCAACCCCTAGTACATTTGAGATGCTGATAAAATCTGAACACTTCTGCTGTTGACTGGGGCGTGTGTCTAGAGGAGAGGGTGACTGGCTTCATTCCCTCTTTCCTGAGCTGTGGGACAGCGGGGAACACGATTTGAAAGAGGAAGTTGTTGAGTCTTGGAACCTGGAGCAGCTGGCTCTTTTTGCCTCACAAGTCAGATGTTAGATTTCCCTCTGCCCGTAGCTGGGTTTTATTGGAGTGATTCACATTTCTTGGAACAAATGAAAGGGTGAGACAGTTGTTAATGGTTCTGTTGGCCAGGGGTTCTTCCTCTCTGTGAGAGATCGTGTTTAGGCATCCCATGTGAATACCCTGGCTTGGTTCACCCCTCGTTCATGCATCTCTTCACTCACCTCGTCACTCATCCCGTCATGGAGCATAAGTCTCGTTGCATTACTAAGATCAGTGTGGCACTAGGCCTACTCCTTGGTTTTGGTTTTTACAATAAAGAAATTTGTTTTTTCCCCAGTTTTTTCCAGCCACTGCTCATCTTGTCTGGACTGCCTGCTACCCCGCTCCCTTTGTGGTTCTTTTTCTACCCTTTCTTCTGACTCAGGTATCCCATGCCTGGGAAGGATGCTTCGCTTCTCCACTATGAGCACCACTGGTTTTTGGAACACTGCTGAGGCCTGCCTTCCTTTTGCTCCTGACACTAAAGCTAGAGCCCCGCCCAGAAAGGGCTGTGCGTCTGGCTCCGTGGGCATGCTCATGGCAGTTGGGTCTCTGTCATCTGCTTGGTGACTTTCTTTCTAGTTTATTCTCGTGAGTGTAGCTATGTCTCATAATATATTCAGTTGC